TAAATAAATGTTTATTATAGTTTTTCCAGGAGTGACTTGAATTTTGCATGATTTAGTTTATTTGTTAAATTGTTAACATCTTGCACTATATTTCTTTTASTTGAATTTTATATGCTTTGGTTGAGATTTTATATTGATGTTAAATCTTTTAAGCTTGTTTTCTGTTAAAGAATTGACTCTAGAGTGCACATTTTGTGTCCATGAAAAAACTATTACAGATAATATTACAATATTAAAGAACAGTTCTCGTTAATTTGTGGATATGAATGTAGGGTATACATTTAATCCACTTTATTTCATTGATTCTGACTCAACAACTTCTATGCTTAAAGTGAATTTACATGATATTAAACCTGTTTATTGGTAACATTCTGTGGTAGCAGTAGGTAATTGCGGAAATGTGGAGGAAATTGGTACTGGAAAGTCCTTGAAAGGTCCTTGAATTTGATGTTGACCAACTTGTGGGAACCCTGAACTCTGTTTCACTGTATAACCGTGTTCATGTAAAGCTGTCACTAAAGGTGGTGGGTGATGTGCGTTCCTTCAAGACATATTTCTTTACATTTTTATTTATGACTGTTAAAATAAAGTCCAATCAAAGCTGAAATAACACTAAGCTACAGAACTGAACTGTAGAAGTCAGAGTGATGTACATCACTGAACAACACAAGTGACTGTCCTCATGTCTCCTTCCTTTAACAGCCTCTTCAGTCTGCATCAGCAGGAAGTGAGGACAGCTTCCGTCCAGGCAGCCTCTTCAGACAGCTCGCTGATCAGGACGAAGACTCTCAGTCATCATCTCTTTTTAAACTTAGCTGGCTGTCTGGCATCGCCAAATAACACTTTGTTGCTTTTTATTGCCTTTGCAGAGACTTTATATAAAAACACCACATACAATAAACAGCCTTTCCAGAAATGCAGCCTGTGTTTGATTTACTCATGTCTGACACTAACAACAGTTTGTAAATGCACTCTGTCTCCCCATTGCATTAGTAATGTGTTACTAAACACCCACCACAGAAAGGCATGCCTCAGTGTGTGTGTGTGTGTGTGTGTGTGTGTGTGTTGTGTGTGTTACCAAAACAACTGATGAACCTTTGAACAAATTGTAATGAAACTTGAAAGAAGTAATCACTGGATGTACATTTACAACTGAATAAATTACGGAGTTTATTCAAGATGCGTGGCATGACAGAGTGCCCATAAAAAATAAAATAAATTTAACTCACATTTATAGCTTAGTGTGGTAGTAGGCAGGGGGGAATGTAGTTTTTCCCAGTATAATGACAAAAATAAAGTCATTGGCTGTCCCATTGCAAGCAGCATTTTTATTTTATTTTTTGTCTGTTTTATAGTTATTTATGTATTTAATGACTAACCTCTTTAGAACCTGCATCCTGATATTATGGATATTTGTTTTGAACTCATTTTCCTTATTTACAGGGACAAGGTTTTAAATTTAATTTTTTTAATTTATGTAAAATACACTCCTGATCAAAATCTTAAGACCAGTCAAAAAAGTGCAAGAATTTGCATTTTGCACTATTGGATCT